GGGACTCCGGGAAGGAACACCGAGGCGCGGGGGCAGAGACTGCACTGCTCTCGTCCGGGATCTGGATTTTATAGTCTCTGAGTCTTGGCCGCTGATGGGATTACACGGCGCCAGGGTGCCAGGTGGTGGGTGTGACCCCCGCCTACTGGAATTTGGAGGATCTGGGTGGAAGATGCTCGACTCCAATTCGAGTAGGCTTGGAGGTCTCGGCCCCGGAACCCGCGTGGCTTTGTCCCTCTGCCAGTACCTTCAGGTGTGCGGAGAGTGGTCTCAGCATGGTGGTGGCTGGTCCTGGAGGTCTCCGGCTGCCATAGCCCTGGCCGGGGCGGGGAGGAAAGCTCAACCCTCTCCCCTCCAAGGGACTCCGGGAAGGAACACCGAGGCGCGGGGGCAGAGACTGCACTGCTCTCGTCCGGGATCTGGATTTTATAGTCTCTGAGTCTTGGCCGCTGATGGGATTACACGGCGCCAGGGGGCCAGGTGGTGGGTGTGACCCCCGCCTACTGGAATTTGGAGGATCTGGGTGGAAGATGCTCGACTCCAATTCGAGTAGGCTTGGAGGTCTCGGCCCCGGAACCCGCGTGGCTTTGTCCCTCTGCCAGTACCTTCAGGTGTGCGGAGAGTGGTCTCAGCATGGTGGTGGCTGGTCCTGGAGGTCTCCGGCTGCCGTAGCCCTGGTCGGGGCGGGGAGGAAAGCTCAACCCGCTCCCCTCCAAGGGACTCCGGGAAGGAACACCGAGGCGCGGGGGCAGAGACTGCACTGCTCTCGTCCAGGATCTGGATTTTATAGTCTCTGAGTCTTGGCCGCTGATGGGATTACACGGCGCCAGGGGGCCAGGTGGTGGGTGTGACCCCCGCCTACTGGAATTTGGAGGATCTGGGTGGAAGATGCTCGACTCCAATTCGAGTAGGCTTGGAGGTCTCGGCCCCGGAACCCGCGTGGCTTTGTCCCTCTGCCAGTACCTTCAGGTGTGCGGAGAGTGGTCTCAGCATGGTGGTGGCTGGTCCTGGAGGTCTCCGGCTGCCATAGCCCTGGCCGGGGCGGGGAGGAAAGCTCAACCCGCTCCCCTCCAAGGGACTCCGGGAAGGAACACCGAGGCGCGGGGGCAGAGACTGCACTGCTCTCGTCCGGGATCTGGATTTTATAGTCTCTGAGTCTTGGCCGCTGATGGGATTACACGGCGCCAGGGGGCCAGGTGGTGGGTGTGACCCCCGCCTACTGGAATTTGGAGGATCTGGGTGGAAGATGCTCGACTCCAATTCGAGTAGGCTTGGAGGTCTCGGCCCCGGAACCCGCGTGGCTTTGTCCCTCTGCCAGTACCTTCAGGTGTGCGGAGAGTGGTCTCAGCATGGTGGTGGCTGGTCCTGGAGGTCTCCGGCTGCCGTAGCCCTGGCCGGGGCGGGGAGGAAAGCTCAACCCGCTCCCCTCCAAGGGACTCCGGGAAGGAACACCGAGGCGCGGGGGCAGAGACTGCACTGCTCTCGTCCAGGATCTGGATTTTATAGTCTCTGAGTCTTGGCCGCTGATGGGATTACACGGCGCCAGGGGGCCAGGTGGTGGGTGTGACCCCCGCCTACTGGAATTTGGAGAATCTGGGTGGAAGATGCTCGACTCCAATTCGAGTAGGCTTGGAGGTCTCGGCCCCGGAACCCGCGTGGCTTTGTCCCTCTGCCAGTACCTTCAGGTGTGCGGAGAGTGGTCTCAGCATGGTGGTGGCTGGTCCTGGAGGTCTCCGGCTGCCGTAGCCCTGGCCGGGGCGGGGAGGAAAGCTCAACCCGCTCCCCTCCAAGGGACTCCGGGAAGGAACACCGAGGCGCGGGGGCAGAGACTGCACTGCTCTCGTCCGGGATCTGGATTTTATAGTCTCTGAGTCTTGGCCGCTGATGGGATTACACGGCGCCAGGGGGCCAGGTGGTGGGTGTGACCCCCGCCTACTGGAATTTGGAGGATCTGGGTGGAAGATGCTCGACTCCAATTCGAGTAGGCTTGGAGGTCTCGGCCCCGGAACCCGCGTGGCTTTGTCCCTCTGCCAGTACCTTCAGGTGTGCGGAGAGTGGTCTCAGCATGGTGGTGGCTGGTCCTGGCCACCACCTGGCCCCCTGGCGCCGTGTAATCCCATCAGCGGCCAAGACTCAGAGACTATAAAATCCAGATCCCGGACGAGAGCAGTGCAGTCTCTGCCCCCGCGCCTCGGTGTTCCTTCCCGGAGTCCCTTGGAGGGGAGCGGGTTGAGCTTTCCTCCCCGCCCCGGCCAGGGCTACGGCAGCCGGAGACCTCCAGGACCAGCCACCACCATGCTGAGACCACTCTCCGCACACCTGAAGGTACTGGCAGAGGGACAAAGCCACGCGGGTTCCGGGGCCGAGACCTCCAAGCCTACTCGAATTGGAGTCGAGCATCTTCCACCCAGATCCTCCAAATTCCAGTAGGCGGGGGTCACACCCACCACCTGGCCCCCTGGCGCCGTGTAATCCCATCAGCGGCCAAGACTCAGAGACTATAAAATCCAGATCCCGGACGAGAACAGTGCAGTCTCTGCCCCCGCGCCTCGGTGTTCCTTCCCGGAGTCCCTTGGAGGGGAGCGGGTTGAGCTTTCCTCCCCGCCCCAGCCAGGGCTACGGCAGCCGGAGACCTCCAGGACCAGCCACCACCATGCTGAGACCACTCTCCGCACACCTGAAGGTACTGGCAGAGGGACAAAGCCACGCGGGTTCCGGGGCCGAGACCTCCAAGCCTACTCGAATTGGAGTCGAGCATCTTCCACCCAGATCCTCCAAATTCCAGTAGGCGGGGGTCACACCCACCACCTGGCCCCCTGGCGCCGTGTAATCCCATCAGCGGCCAAGACTCAGAGACTATAAAAATTATTTTTTATTCTCATTATATCAAGGCATATAAGAACTCAGAAATGTAAAATACTACTAAATTTCTTCAACTTTTCTCCATCAAAACTTTCCTAAATTATTTCTATTACTTTCCCATGTTACAAATTTCCTTCCTTGTTTTCTAAAATGATTGTCTAAGTCTGAGTTGTCTGGTTTGTATTGCTATTGTATCCCTATATAAAAAAAAAAAAAAAGGTAAAGGCCCTCCCGTTGATCGTCGATTTGCTCGAGCGGGCCCAGTAACGTCTCCATTGGAGACTTTGTTGTTACTGTGTCTGGCATATCGAATACTCTGGGTAGCTTGCCGGGCTCTCCGAGAGGGGCGGAGGAATCGAACTCGGGTCGGCCATGTTGGCCGCTTGTAAGGCGAACGCCCTACCCGCTGTGCTATCGCTCCAGCCCTATATAGCCCAAATTATCTTAAACTGTATTAAATACTTGATGTTAGATGCTAAACCATACAATATTTGAAGATAATTCGAACACAATGTCCCATGATATTGACAGCCTCGATGAATTTGGGAATTCAATTCCAATACAAAGAATTAATTCTAAAATAAGCTGAAATTGCATCAAAAAAAATAGCAGTAAGAAAGGAACCAACAAAAACAAATCATGACTCCTACTGAACGAAAGGAAAAAATTCACGTACACTATATCTGAAAAATTCCAATTTCCAAGAATATAAAGAATTCACAAAACTCAATGGCAAGAAGACAAACTCATCAAAAGTGGGGAGAAAACTGAATTTTTCACCATTGAAATGATGCAAATGGCCGATAGACAATGGATATTATATCACATATTTTCAGAAAAATGCAAATCAAAACAGAAAAAATGTATCACTCACACTTATGATAATGGCCTATATCATCAGGAACAAGTGTTTGTAGAAGAGAGGAGATTTAGAAGCCCTCATACACTAAAGGTATGATTGCCAATTAGCCCAGACCCTAAGAAAAACTTTCTGAAGAACTGTCTATAAAATCAAAATGTGGGGCAGGAGAGATGATTCAGAGTGTACCCTAATATAGTCCGCTGACCCCAAAAGGAGTGACCACAGAGCAAAAAAATAGGAGTGAGCCTGGATCACTGCCCAGTGTGGTCCCTAAACTAATATATATATATATAATGTTTGTATATTTATGTATATATGTATATATGCATGGAAATATGATATATATTATGTATATATTTCTTTGTATATATGTATTCAACATGTTTTGATATCAGTGTGAGAGTCTGTCTTTATTCCTATACCACAGTGTCCACGTTGTCTTGATTATTATAGCTTTATAGTGGAATATAATATTGAAAAAGAAAATTCTCCAAACTTTATTTCCCTAGGAGTTATTTGGTTATTCGTATTTATTATTTCATATAAATTTCAGATGCATTTGATCTAAACCTTTTAATATGTATGAATATAGAGGAACAGTCCTGAATATATATATCAAAGAAATATATTATATATCTTATATAAAATATATAACTTTCATTTTGACAATATTTAACAGTGTTATTCCATTCGAATCATGAACAGGGATGCATTTCCATTTCTTTATGTTTTTGTTTATTTCTTTAAGTAAAGAATTATAGTTTCATTTATATGCATTTCACCTCTTTTGTTGTCAATTCTCGGATAGACACTTGATTTTTTTGAGACACAGTTGTGAACGAAGCACAGCTGTGAATGGGTTTTTTTTTCTTAATTCTTTCTTTTGTATTTTGTTAGTTTCATATTGTAATTACACAGAGTTCTGCATGTTGATTTTGTGCCTCACATTACAAGACAAATTTACTGTTTCTACAAATTGTTTATTTTTTCTGTAGTCTTTTGGGTAATCTAAATATAGTATCATGCCATCTGTCAATAGTGACATTTTGATTTCTCCCCTTCAAATCCGGATGCCCTTAAGATCTGTTTCTTACCTAGTTGCTTGACTAGGACTTCAATGCTAGATAGAAAACAGTGATGAAAATGGGCAACTCTGTCACGTAAGAGACTAGAAGAGAAAGGCTTTCAGTTTTTCAGCACTGAGTAAAATGTTAGCTGTGGTTTCATAGTAAATGGCTTTAAAATAACTGCAGAGGCGTGGGAGTCGAAGGTGACAGCTCGTGGCACCTGCTTCCTGCTGCCTCAGAAATGTCTTCGCTGTCAGAATACACCTTGAGCATGAGCCGGCTGAGTGCCCAGCTGTTCGGTGAGGTCGCCAGGCCCAGGGACACCGATTCCATGAAGGTGGTGAAGCTGTTCAGTGAGCAGCCCTTGGCCAAGAGGAAGGAGACTTATGACTGGTACCCCAATCACAACACGTACTTTGCTTTCATGGGCACAATACGCTTCTTGGGCCTCTACAGAGACGAGCACCAGGACTTTAACGATGAGCAGCTGCAACTAAAGAAGCTTTGTGGAAAGGGGAAACCAAGGAAATGAAAAGGGAAAAGAGCCACAAAAAGAAGTAGAGCTGTAACCGTTGCAAGAGAAGAGGTCGTCATTGGCATCTGAGGGAAGGCAGTGCCTTCCCGGTCTCCCCAAGATCGGAGGAGCTGTCACCTCCAAGTCCACGGCCAGTCTGGCCGAACTGTGACTGGTTTCTTGGATGCATAGAATCCCACAGGATTATCGGGGTCTCTGTTTTGTCATTGGAGGTTGATCTTGGTCTCTAAAAAAGCAGAGCACGTTTAATGAAAAAAATAATAAAATAAAATAACTGCAGAAAGATCTCTGTTTTTATTTTACTAATGCATGCATATATTATATATAAATATAAATTCCAATGAAGTTTCTATATATATATAGCTCTGTAGCACTGTCCTCCCATTGTTCATTGATTTGCTCGAGAGGGCACAAGTAACATCTCCATTGTGAGACTTGTTACTGTTTTTGGCATACTGAATATGCCACAGGAAGCTTGCCAGGCTCTGACTTGTGGGCGGGATACTCTCGGTAGCTTGCTGGACTCTCTGCGAGGGACAGAGGAATCAAACCCGGGTCAGCCACTTGCAAGGCAAACTCTCTACTCTCTCTGCTATTGCATATAGATCATTGTATCACTGTATCACTGCCATCCTGATGATCGTCGAATTACTCAAGTCAGTAATGTTTTTATTCCTCCCAGCCCTAAGATTTTAGCAGCTTGTTCTTACTCATCTTTTCCCAACGATTAGAGGCTCTTTCAGGATCAGGGGAATGAAACCTGTTGCCGTTACTGTATTTGGCATATCGAATACACCATGGGGAGCTTGCCAGGTTCTGCCCATGAGGGAGGGATACGCTCGGTAGCCTGTCAGGCTCTCTGAGAGACATGTATTCATATATTTTTCTTTATGATTTCTTTCCTACTATCTGAATCCCATCAGATATGGTTTAGTAACAGTGGAAAATGGGTAGGAAGTGTCTTATAATGCACCGCGCAGAGGCGAATCGGCCGAGCGGTCCAGAAACTGGCCTGGAGCGTAGAAGTGGTTGGGTAGTAGAGGTTGGCTGCCGGAGCTGGGTCCCTTGGGGCAGGGAGAGTTCTCATCCACCCCACAGCCTGGCGCGTAGTCCAGTGGTATGGTTCTGGGAGCCTCCTTTTATGCTCCGTCTGGGAAGAGCATCCTGAGTTCTGGAGGGCGACCGATGAGGAAATTATCTGGTGCTGGCAGGGTGTGGAATATGGATGTGATCCCTGAGTCACCGGAGAGTGGGAGAAGGAGGCAGAAGATCTCATTCTGGGATCCTGTTGAGTCCAGAGTCCAAGGTCACAGAATTCCATATTATCTGGCTTCTATGGGACTTCATTTATGCGTGAGACTCAGCCTGAGCATCATGAAAGTGGCCTGGAGCACGGTGGTGGTTGGGTAGTGGAGGTCGGCTGCTGGGGCTGGGTCCCTTGGGACAAGGAGGGCTGCCACCTGCTCCACAGCCTGGCGTGGAACTCCGTGCCAGTGTATATACATATGTATATATAAAATATATGACAGTGATACAGTGATATATAAATGAATGGTTATATAATCTTGTTGAAAAATGTTTCTATAATTACTAATATGGCCTTTGTCCTCTTATTGACAGTATATTATGTTGACTGACTTACATATATTAAACCATCCTCACCCTAAAAAAATCCAATTTGGCCATGGTTTAGGATATTTTTGATGTCTTGCTGGATGTGTTTTTCTAATATTTTCCTTAGGAACTTTTCATCAATTTTGCAGGGATACAGACACATAGTTTTCAAAATACAAGTACATTATGGATTAGAAGTACATTATGGAGAGCCCAGAGACAGACCCTCAAGTGAAATCTTTGATAAAGAAGGGAAGATTATAAAGTGGAGAAAGAATAGGATTTTTCAGAAAACTGGGTTAGAAAAATCGGTCAGTTACATGTAAACACATACACACATACACATACACATACATACATACACACACAATGAACTAAGACTCGGCTTTTGCTTGGGGAAAGGCTTTTGTTTACCATTTCAATTTCCTTGATAGGCATAGGTTTGTTTAATATGTTAAAGATGTCAAAAATATTTGGCTAAGATGTTTAACTAAATAATCTTGGTTCAGACTTGGGAAGTAATAGGAATCCTGGAATTTATCAACTTCTTCTAGGTTCTCTTGTTTTGTGGTATAAAGATTCTCAAAGTAATCTCTGATGATCCTTTGATGATCTGTGGTGTCTACTGCAATGTACCCTTCTTTCATTTTTTATTTGATTTATTGAGTTTCTCTCCCTTTGAGAGTTTTGCTAGTAGTAGTTAATTTTTCTTTTCAAAGAACCAGCTCTTGGTTTCATAGATCTTTTGGATTGTCTTTTGAGATTCCAGTTCATTATTTTCCTAAGTTTCATTATTTCCTTCCTCATGCCTGCTTTGGAAAATGTTGACCCATTTCTAGTTTCTTAAGTTTTGCAGTCAAGTTACTTATGTGGTGCCTTTTTTCCTTTTTTATTGATGCATGCAGATAAATTAATTTTCCTCTTAACATCATTGGCTATACCCCACAAGTTCTGTCAGGTAGTGTTCCCATTATTGTTTCCATGAATCTTTTCATTTTATCTTTGACTTCCTCGCTGATCCACTGATTATTCAGTAATAAGCTATTTAACTTCCATCTGTTTTTGTTGTTTCTCCATTTCTGTCTGTGAATAACTTCTACTTTCAGTGCATCATGGTCTGATAAGATAGTCGATATGATTCCTATGCTCTTGTCTCTGAATATGATCAATCTGGAGAATGTACCCTGTGCATTGGAGAAGAATGTGTATCTGGCTTTTTGAGAAAGAAAGGGTAGGTAGATAGATGATAGATAGATAGATAGATAGACAGATAGATATAGATATGTATAAATACATATACATGTGTATATCTATATACACTAAACCTCTGTTTTCCATTTTCTTGCTCAAATAATTTCCTTCCTTGTCGTCAAGAGGTGACAATGTAGCACTATTACTGTGTTGCTATCAATTGCTATCAACGTCTTTCTTCAAATATACTAGCAGTTGTTTTAAGTATTTTTCTGGTCTCTAATTAGGTACAAATATGTTTAGGAGTTTGAGTTCTACCAGATGTACATATGCCTTGATCGTTATAAAATGACCCTTTCTGTCTTGCATAACCTTTTTCAGCATGAATGATCTGATCTTGATCTGATACAAGAATGGCAAGTGAGGCCTTTTTGAGGGGTTGTTTGCTCTTCCTATTTAGATTGTGAGTCTGTGTTTGATCTGAGTATTCAAATATATGTCTTGAAGGCAGCAATGCTGGGTTCAATTTATAATCCACACTGCCACTCTCTGTCTCTTAACTGGTACATTTAGCTCACTGACACTAATAAAGATTATTGTTTTCTCTATGATTCTGCAGCAGCTTACCGTGTTTTTTGGGGTTGTCTTAAAGTGGCCCATTTAGTTCTTCTAATGATGGCTTTAAGTCTATGGAGATGGTTTTAAGTCTATGGAGATACTGAGGTGTTGTTTATTTGTGTATTGTTCCTTCAAATCTGAATGAGACTCTGGCTGGTTTCAGCATTCTTGGTGAGTCCTTCATTTCCTTGAGTTGTTTCACTGTGTCTTACCACTGTCTTTAGGCTCAGAGGATTTTGTCTTATAGGTCTGCTGTAAATCTCAAGGGTGCTGCTTTCTGTATTCTATTTCTACCTGTTGTTTTCACACTTCTTATTAGGATGTGTCTTGGAGTAATTTTCTTTCTATTTCTTTTAACTGGTACCCATCAGGCCTCCTGGATCTGGGTGCATGAGCTCTTCAGCTCTCGGAACATCTCATGAATATCTTTGACTGTTTCTTCTTCATCAGGGTTGTCTTTCTTCACCTCTGGGACACTGGTTATTCTTATGTTGTTCCTCTTTAATTTTCCCTAAAGTTTTCCTGTCATCTGTTTGTTTATTTTAACGTTTTTTCTATCTTCTGTTTTAGTCTGAAAATTATCTGCACCTTATCTTAGAGCTCATTGATTCTGTACTCAGCAGTTTTTACTCTGCTGCTGATATCTTCCACTAAGTTTTTCATTTCACCTACCAATATTATTAGTTCAGTCATTTCTGTTTGTATTTTCCTCATTTCTGCTATCATAACCTCTTGCGTTTATGACAATCTGTTCCATCTTTTTTTTCTTTTTTGAGCATATTATAAATATTCAACAATTCCTTCTAAATTCCTTCTCAGTTAATCTATAGCTCACTATCATGATTCAGTCTTCCATCTTCGCCCACAAAGCCTGGTGGGGGAGTGTGTTGCTTGAGTTGTGTTTTGAAGATTGTTGTGTGTTTAAATGGATATCTTTGTAGGTTCATAATGAATTATGAAGAGGTGAAGAAATGTGTAGCAGAGCTTTATTGTTCTTCCAAGGTGTGTGGAGAGGGTGAAGCAAGGAGGTGATCCTGATCTGGGGGGCAATATGGTGACTGTAAACAAGAAACAGGGCCTCTAACACTATTGATCTTACTTTTCTCTTCATGACCACGGCAGGACAGAGGCAAGTCTTGGATGTTAAGCAGCCCTTTTCCTCCTTATCCACTTTATGGGTTGGTGGTACAAAATCCTGACCTCTAAGAAAAATAGTGACCTAAGTAAAATGCAGGGCCCTGATCATATTACACTTCTTGGCATTGAATCAAAGGGCTGAAAAATCTTTTCATAACAGGTATTTATATCTTCATGTTCATTTCTGCATTGTTCCTGATAACCCAAATCTATAAACAACCCAAGTGTTCATTAAAAGATGACTGGGTAAAAAATTGTGTCATCTACACAATGGATTAGCACCAAAATATTTTAAAAAATGAATCACACAATTTGTCTCCACATGCATGAAATTGGAAGTTATCATACTAAGTAAAGTCTGACATAATGAGAGGCCCAGACAGAATGATCCCTCCCATATGTAAGAAGCATAATAAGGTAATAGCTAATGACCTAAAGCAAAATAACAGGATA